TTCCAGCCAGTGCACTCTGTAAAAATGTCTTGATGTGGGGTAAAGTGTGGCCTTCTGGTAGAATTCAATACAAGGGAAGGTTGACCGAAAGACACTGATTCTAGGGCTATATATCTGAGCAGAAATGTCGGCTCGAGTGTTATCTATGGGAGATAAGAACTTGTCTTCTCTGTCAGGATACAGAAATGTTGTGTCCCAGATCATACACAGAAATTGTAGGATTTACCTTGGGTTTAGAGAACTCCTTTTTTATCCTTAAAAGGTTAACATATTTATTGTATCCATTTCATGGAACAGTTCTCTGTGTCAGTTGGAATATATCTTGATACATCTTTTAGTTGAAACAAGAGGATTCCTTTTCCAAATGATGATGAAACCTATCTGAGTCAGCAGTTTCACCATCCATTTATGTTTTCCTTAGAATTTATATGATGATACAATGATTAAAGTTTTGGCCAAAACACCTGATTTGATTTTATTTAACATATGCGGAGAAATTTCCTATGACTTATTTTCATTGTATACACATAGATATCCCAGTGCTCTGCGCATACCATGTATTTATACAGATCTACAAGGACAAGATCCAGAAAACCTGGTAGACAATGGCCCCTTCTACACTGCCATATGATCCAGATTATCAAAGCAGATAATCCACAACTGGATGATATGAGTCTACACTGACATATAATCCAGTTCAAAGCAAATAATCTAGATTTTATATGGCCATGTATGCCCCTCTAATCATTGCTCCCTCTTTCAGAGGAACGCAAAACATAACATCCCACACAGGATTTTGTGTGGAGGTGATTATCAAGTCCCATATACACTGTCCTTATATCCCAGGATCTGATCCCAGGTTATCTACTTTAAACTAGATTATATGAATCTCCACTGCCATATAATCTGGGGTAAGAAGATAATCTGGGATCAGATCCCAAGATATGGGGCAGGGTAGAAGGGTCTTCAGTTGTCACACAGTTGATTTATCACATGATACTAGTATAACAAATGGTAGATGGTCTCTTCTACCCCACTTGATGCAGGAGGTATTACAAAACTTCTCTGTGTTAAACCCAAAATTAGAGGTCACCCCTAACATTCAGCTCCCACTCGAGACAGGTTTGTCAGCCTCTTCCTAATGGACCTAGTGAGTGTGGCAAGGTACAAGTCAGTCTTTCTTAATACTTGTTGGACTTGCAGGGACATTAGCTGCTATTAAGGCAACTATTTGATGCCCTCTTGTGAAGTTTTCTCCATATGAGGAAGTCACTTCCTGTGGAGAAATAATTTACAAATCAATGTGTTTTCTCTCTATGGAACTGTTTTTACTAGTTTTATTAGCACCTCATTTACAGGCCTCATAAATAGATAAGGTCTAGATGGGACAGCGCAGTTTTACAAGATCAGAGATAGTGTAGTACAGGCTAGAATGTTCTTTGATATGGCAAGAGACAAAAGCCTAAGTGAACCTGAAGTTAGCATGCATTATGCATAGGTAAAAAATAAGAGATTTGGGAAAGGGCTAAACTTGTTATCCCTCTGAATTCGATGTAGAATAGTATCCAATCTTGGCATACCTCAAAGGAAAAACTCCAGAGTCTCTGGAAAGCTGTCTCTGGGTGACATGAAAAAATTACTTAACATGGAACTCAAATAAACCTACTGAAGTGGATTAAATTTCTTATGGCATATAACATTAACTCTTTTCTTCAGAGTATAGGCAGTTCCCAAGTTACAAACATCTGACTTACATACAACTACTAGTTAAGAAGGGGGTGGGTGGGTGAGACATCATGAAGTGAGAGAAATCTACTCCTACAAAGGGAAATTCACTCCTGGAACATTTATCATGGGGGAAAAACCATTCCTAGTTTCCACAACAAGCCATATTTTTCAAAATCCAATTATCACAGGGACAGAAAGTGAGGTGAAATCTTCTGAACAGGAGCACAGACAGCAAAACACCACAGGGGTGTTAACCCTTCCCTATGCTATCCAAAGATAAATAGAGAGACAGACAGACAGACAGATATGGCTGGAGCTACACTTAAAAATGTACCTGTTCCTACTTACATAGAAATTTAACTTAAGATCAAACCTGCAAAATCTATCTTGTTCGTAACTTGGGGAATGCCTATATTAGGTACATTTCTGAACATTCTTTAAATTACTCAAACTTTGCTGTTTATTTTTTGCTCATGTGTAGTGCAAGCTTTGTTTTGTTCACTGGCCTTTTTAATAGTAACCAAGACAATTATGTGTTCATTCTATTATGGATTTTCTGTCATGGCAATCCCATGAATTTGATAGGGTTTTCCTGAACAAGGAATACTCAGACGTGGTTTTGCTAGCTCCTTCCTCTGAAATAAAGCCTACAGCGCCTGGTATTTGTTGGCAGTTTTATATCCAACCACATTATAAAATGTCAAGGTTCAGTATATTGGGCAGAACCCAAGATGTGCTCTTCCATAAGAATGTATTTTCAAATCATGGAAGTTGTTCTACACTTATACTAAAAGACAAAAATAGTGTTCTGATTTGCAGTTATCCAGAAGCTGGAAAGTTCTACATCATGTGTTGAGAACTTTTGCAGAACATAGGACTGGATGATATTCAGAGCATGGCTGTTCCTTCCTGTTACCATCTCAGTCAGGAATCAAGTTTTACCATTCAGACAACACCATGCATTGAGAAGAGACATGTCATTAGCTGAAGAACAAACAGGAAAAGTGCTTCAAAAACAGCTGGCATCTTGATTAATATGGCTTTGTTCCTTCATTGCTTTTCCTGACTCTGGAACTCCATGCCCAGCAAAGCCATAACCCCCTGCTGCCTCCTTCCTGCGGCAGGCTAAAACCATTTTATTCAGGCAGATGTTTAAAGGTTTTTAAGACCAAGCCAAGGAGTGCTGTGTTTTATGTAATTTACCATAATAGATTTGTTTGATTATATTGCTTTTAACTATATATTTTTAATATTTCTATGTTTAATTCTATTTTTATGTTTATAGGCATTAGATTTTAATTCACGCATTGTTGTAGTTCTTAGTGTTAGCTGTTTTGCGTCTTCACTCACTGCTTTGAGGAGCTGGTTTTGAAGAAACGGCAACAAAGATATGGCTCAGATCCATCTGGCTCTTTAGGGAGCAGATAAGCCTCAGCATTGGGAATTAGTTGACTTTGCTCCTTGTCCACTTAGCCAATATAGGAAAAGAGAGGTGATTGGTCTAACTGAACAGTGGCTTGAGGTGGTGAATCAGTCTCTGTTCCAATTGTTTTTTACCGAGGGACTTTAGGGAAAAAAGGTTTCTTCCTGAGTTCAATGAACTGGCCTAGGAGAACAGAACTGATTTACAGGACAGTGATTCCCAATCATAGTACCATGCTCTATACCAGTGCTTGACAGTATAATAAAATGACAAGCAAACAGACAGAAAAGCAACACTGTGAAGGCCAGAGATCTACAGTACTTTTTAAATTGTGGCACATGTCACTTTTAACCAAATACCCTTATGTAAACTAGTTGATTTCTTTAAAGCATATGAATGTACTAAATTATTGGTAACAGGTCAAAATGAACAATCTGTAATGTAGACTTGGATTCTAACTTGCTTTTTGTGAACCGAATAGTTTGTGATCTGGCTATGGATTTAGAAGAGAGAAAGAGAAGACATGGGTTTTGGGCAATACTTCCTACCCTGACAGTCTCCTCCCAATTTTCCATTTTTTTGTGCAGGCAAGAAAACAGGTAAAACAGCAAAAATTACCTCTTACTTTCATCTAAGATGTCTGCCTACAGATGGAGGAGCGGAGTGAACCAAAACTGACTTTCACATCCTCTCCTCTTCCTGCCAGAGTCCAAAGCCCCTAAAATGCCCTTGACCTTTGAATGGGGTGGGTTGAAGAAGAAACCCCACTTCATATAAGATATAAATGGCCTTGAAACTCTAAGGGAAGTTCAAAGATATTGAATTGTATTTCTTAAAGCATGTACCTAACAAAAGGTGAGCTAACTGTTTTGCTGTTATAACTCAATAGTTTCAAGAGTGTCTGAGAAAAGTAGTAAGCAACACCAATAGAATCACACTGTTTTGAGTCACATTTTTAGTTTTGGGGGAGGGGCAATTTCATTCTCAAATGAAATTTTCTGTCAGTTCTCCAATTTCTAGCATTGAGAGAATGCTGGAAAATTTTCACATTTAAAAACGTTATATTTGCTGTTTTGGGTAATTTTGTCTTCCCCCAAAATTGACTAAACTGTATTTCTACACTTGCAACTGAATTTTAAGTTATTTCAAGAAATTATAGGAAGCATAAAAAAATCAAATTAGAAGCAATGTATACAACACTATTTAATACTATAATGATACTGACTAGACTATTGCAACAAAAGTATTGCCTCAAAAGTACAGGGCAAAGACGTATTGTGACTTCCGACATCAATGAAAGTTTTGCCTCATGACACAACTGAGTATCTACTAGGCACTACAAACAGGTGACTACACCAGAATATATAGTAATGTTTTAAAAGAAATGTTTTTTTTTAATGGAATGATAACCCAAAAATAACAAGAGGTTTTTAAATATAAATATATAGTTTTTATCTTAAATAATGCACTTAGATAGGAAGTATCTGTCACAGTGATCACATACTTAAGCATATGTGAAGATTTTAAAAAAATCAAATCTCCAATGACTAAGGTATAAGAGACTGTTTTTTGCTTTTAACAAACTCACCTGTTTTTAAAGTACATAAACATAATCTAGATTCATTTACAAGGAATTTATTATAGTAACTAAAAATGATGTTTAAGATATATATATAATTTTTAATTCTTCCACGAAAGCACTGCTGTGCAGAAGAAGAGGCATCATGCCCATTATCTAAACTAGGGGAGATACAGCATGGAAGCCTACTGGGAAGGAAATAAAACTATCTGGGCTATTAACTACTTAGTAATTGAAAATGTTAACATTAGCAGGAATATTGGTACTTACTGTGCCCGGATCTCTGTCTGTTCCCGTAGTAACCAAGAAATGCACAGACATGCCCGTTCAGACACAGAGGCAAGAACAGAAATAAAAAAGGGGGGAAAATTAGAACACAAGCCGCGAACAGTTTTAAAATGGCTTTTATTTATATAAGTCATTGCACATTCCTAATACAGTGATTTCCTGAAAATTACATCTTGTAAACATGATTTACAGTTTTAACCATACACAAAGCCTAGTTCTTTCCATGACAGAATAAATTACTTATTTTCTTCGAAAATTATTCAAGTGCAATTTTGCCAAATATTTAAACGTTTCCCAAACAAACCTACAAAACAGATGCAATGCTTGAAACCTTTCATTTCAACACATTCATCTAAAAATTTGACTCTGTCCACTGTTCACCCACTCCCTTTGCATTAAAGATTATTTTGTTTAATAATAATAATAATAATAATAATATTAACAACAATAAAAATGGGGAATGTAAGAAAAAAAATACCCACTTATTCTGTCTCAACAACTTTCCACAATAGTGTGCAGGCCACTGAGGTTACAACTAAACATCGGTTTAGATGTCAAAATGCCCTGCATTTCACGAAAACAGGAGATCCTTAATGATCTCCAAGTTCAAATACTGGAAACCTTCAAGCTGAATTTTTTGCTTTAGCCGTCTTATCAATGTAGAACTATTGGTTTAATGTTTGGCAATCAGTTTGTTCTTGGCTTTCATTCTACACAGCTCTCATTTTCATTTAGAGATTCCCACAATTTGCCGCAACGTGCAAGTATTCATTTCACAAGGCTCCTAATCAGGCTTCCCATGCCTCTCACCTCTGTGGTGGTCTGCATCGTGGTGCTTCTTGTCATCTTTTATTGCCAAGTGGGACTGCCCACCCAGAGCACTTGAGAGGGCAAGAAGGCCAGCACTGCTCCCAAGGGGAGGGATTCCTGGAGGCTGAAGTCCTGATGGGTGTGGAGTTAGAGGCACTGGAGGTCCATGGCCATGCGAGAGGTGCTGAGCTTGCAACTGTTGCTGCTGTTATTTGTGGAAGCATTTCCAGGTACATGTGGACCATGGAGCAGGGAGTTTTGAAGATATGAGAAAAAAGAAGGAGGATTGGTTAGCCAAGTGAACTCAATACTACTTCCTGTTTCAAAGCCTACCCCTCATTCCAGCCTGCTCCAGCTAATCACCCCATACTAGATTTCACAACTGCTTGAATATTTCCTCAGATATTGATCCTCTTTTGTATTACAGGACTAAGCCATGTAATTTAATCTACAGCCCGACTAACAGGAGATTTGTGCCGTCTAGACTCGTAAAGACATCTGGCACCTCTCCAAATCCACCTCTATATTAACAGAATTAGTGTAGATGCAAAGACTGCTGGCCCATATCCCCACTCCTTCCCCTCCCCCCAAAAGCTTATTTTCACAACTGCTTTGAATAAAGATAGAAACAATGGCTTGGAAGGCTATGTCTAAAAAAGGCACTGCAGCAATTTCCAGTAGGAATATTTGTTATGTTCAGCTGTCAACTGTAAGCCCTTACCTTACAGCTTCATTTTGGCACTTAACATTTATAAATGTTCCCATCCTTTCATTTCTTAATGTATACCCCACATGAGCACTGCCAGAAACCAGACAGATGGCAGATTTGATGGAAACTTCACTTTGTTTATTGTAACCCAAAAGATGTGATATTTGAGATTCAGTTCACAATGGTTACCTTTGCAGGGCATGATTAGCCTAAATTTTAAAGAGTGATCATAGATGAAATAGAATGCCAGTGCATGCTGCCCAATTGTTCCCACTTGAATCCTCTTACAAGCACAAATGGCACACAAGACAAGCAAAATAAAAAAAACGCAGCCTGTTCTTGCTTTATGACTGTGAGAGTGAGGCGAGACAAGCCAGAGCTCCCGATTCACAGGTCACAACAAATAATCTACTTTAAGTACGAAACAAAGATGACTATACATTCGCAATATACCAGAACTGTCACATCATACTTCTTATGTTATGTGAAAGCATTGTTTCAGACCTTAGAGGTTATACAAATGATAAGACAGTAGATCACATTTAAGCATAACCTCACCCAAATGAAAATGAAATGAACGTGAGCAGAGGACTGCAACAACAATTGTGACCAAATACAAACATAAGGGCACTTAAACTGCACAGAAGTTTCAATCTTTTACATATTTACTTAACCATTCTGAATTCCATGGGGTATATTCCGAGGGAAATATATATATGGCACTGATACCTAATGGCCACACAAGAGGTCCATCCAATTATCCTTTTTTCTCCCCAAATTTGATCAGATTGCTTACATTTGTAAGAAAGACTCTCTGCTTTCATGACTTCAGACAAATTGCAACTCTCTGGAGTTATTAGAACAAGGTGTTGTGTTACACACAGCTTGATTCACACTATCTCAGTTAATATGTTGGTTACAGATTAGCATTTTAATAATTTTATTTATTTAAAAAAACAAAACTGTCTGTTCTATTTTCCCAACAGGAAAATACTTTTTAAAAGAAATGATAATTTAGGGAGACTGAAGGCAAAATCGAAATTTCTTTCCCTTGCAGATACTTAGATTAAGCAACCTTACTTTTCAGATTCAAATTGGCCACCCGCTATCAATATAATTCTGGAAACTAGTGATTTGGACAGTCAGTGAAATCCAGTACATGGCAATTTGGAGAGAGCGGAGTTAAAAACCTTTCTCAGTCACAAGCTTATTAGGTTGCTTTGAGCAAGTCAGGAACTCAGCTGCACTTCCTCTAATTAAAAAACTCAACCCATAGTTATTATGAAGACCAATGGTAAAAAGGACTTTTCCTATTTACAATACATTTCTATCTTAGCAAGAATCCTACTTGCATTGCATGAGCATTTTAACAGACACAGCACACTACATATTGTATATATTTTGAAGTACTTATTTTAATACAGCCATATTTATTTATTATAGCAATCTATAGAAATGGTTCTCAACCTGTGGGTCCCCAGGTGTTTTGGCTTACAACTTCCAGAAATCCCAACCAGTTTACCAGCTGTTGGGATTTCTGGGAGTTGAAGGCCAAAACATCTGGGGACCCACAATTTTAGAACCTCTGGTCTATAGGACTGTATCACTTGTACCCTCAGAGAATGTGGAGGCAAGGAGGAGACAGAGACAAGTGGGTCAGCTGCAGACAACTGAGAGTGGGCAGATGGCAAAGAGTCCATCTGGGAAGCCTACTGAAAGAAAAGGAAAAAAACACCAACCTTCTTTTTTCCTGGTCCAGGGATTCAAAAAGGTCAGAAGCAGTGCTACAGTAGGGAGAGTAAAGAGGACCAAAGCTTCTTTTAGATTCTACCAGGATGGGCAGAGTCCTCTCTTTTTGTGACTCTATCAGAGAAAGGGATGGTTCCTTTTCTGATACAAATTAATACTGTCCCTAAACTTTTATAAAAAAAAAAAAAAGGAGAACCCCCTCCTATGAATAGAATGACAAAAGGTCTCTGGATGGAGAAATGCCACTGAGGCAGTGGTGGCACTTTCACATCTCAATGGAGTGGACTGATGAAGCCTCTGTCTCTCACTCCAAAAAATTACAGGCAGTCTTCATAACATCTCCATCTCTTCTTTTCATTCACAATTCAACTACATGTCTATAATTAATAACTAAATAACCCCAGAAATGATTAGCAGAAGTCCACAACTCTTAACATTGCAGTTATCAAATTGTTTATTTTAGGATGTTTTATGTTTATTATTGATGCATTTTGATTGTTGCTTATATGATTTTAATATGTTGTAAGCCATGTTGAATCCCGTGAGGGAGAAAAGCAGGATATATAGAAAGATATTATTGTTATTTTACTGACACAAAAACACAGTATGACACAGCAAAAAAGATATATATGCTGGATTTCATAACACAAAATCACAAGTCCAACACTTCCCAAGCATTTAGAAGTGTGTGATGTTATTATTGTTATTAATGGTGCAACCTCAATATCTTTATTGCTGATTACTTGTTGATGCTTTTGCAGTCAGTAAGACATGAAGTTCTTGGCAAAGAATTCAGTATCTACATCCTTTTCCAATTACCTCCTTGTGCCAGCTGGTGTCAACAATTAGCTGACACAAGGCTAGGAGACCCTCTAGAATTCATTTCAGTCTATTGTACTCTATTCTTTTTTTCTTTTCTTTTTTAGAAAAGCAAGGCCATTATCTGTAAATAAAAGTGCTTTCCACTCAAAGATAGATTACTTGAATCCTGACTTCAGTGTTTTAGTGTCTTCAAAAGAGAAAAAGAAGAAGCCCTGGCTACTTATCACACACGCCCCTTCATGGAACACTTGATATGGCAGAAAACTTCTAATTAAGTTTCTTGCTTCATCCACATAAGAAAACTCTGTTACTAGCTTCAAAATAATGCCATGCATTAAAAAATGTGGTTTAAAATTGTGACCTATTATGAAGGGGGTTGACTATAGTTTTGTGTTCTGGCTTAAATAAGAGACTGTGGTTAATTACAAATGTCCTAACTCATCAACTGTGCCAACACTTTGGTGAAATAAATCAGGCACAAAGGCAAAAGTCTAATTTGCACTGACAAAAATGTTATTATTCAAACCGGTGCAGAATGCTCTTATTATATTAGTCATTCCTTTATTCCTAGTATGCTTCTTTTCATAAGAGAATTTGAAGGATGCTCATTAGGAGTTACAATGTTACGTTTAAAAAAATTCAACTTACAACTTACAACCAAAAGTAACTGGTTTTGTGAATTATAGTGTAAACCACAATCTTAGGTTAAAATAGTTAGGCAATTCAGAAAACTAACAGTATTTTAAATGTTCATAATAACATATAGATGAGACAGCCCTGTTACCCATAATTAGTACACAAGGTCAGAGTCTGATATTCTATCCTAATTATGGGATTAATGAGCTTTTTGCACAAGAAAGATGAGAAATCTAGAAGTGTTGTGATTGACAAATATGTATGTTTTATACAAACTAAGAAACTATGTCCAGCATCAGAACAAGAGTCTGTCAAAAGCCATAACTTCATATTATTTTCATAACTGCTTCTTCCACACCCATAAAGGATATGTATACTGATCCAGAAAAAATGTGACACTAGAGTTAATTGGAAGACTTCTTTCTTTACTTGCTTGTGCAGAAGGGCTGAATTTGTTGCACCTGTTCATAATAAATCATAATGTGCCCATCCCAAAACTGACCAATTATTTTATTCTTGTTATGGCCTTTCAGGCTATCATGTCAAATCCAGAGGTGTATTGTGCAACAGTGTTGGGATGTTTTTGGAATGCTAGTCCCATAATTCTTGACTGGTGGCTGTGCGGACTAAGAGTTCTATGAGTGCTATGCCAAAAATATCTAGAAGCCTGGAGTTGCTTATTCTGCCTAAATGTGGTTGCTATCAGGGTAGATTGACTGAAACAACGGAGTTTACACACATTTTGGATTATTTTTCAGACAGTAATGCCAGGATTTGGGACTACCAACCAGATTTACTATCAATTCTAGTTGAGACTACCAACTGGATTAACTATCAACTGCATTAACTGCAATTACTGGCATACAAAAATGATCATAAGCAGCAATACAGACTGTAACATACGTTCACCACAAATGGAAGAGATGGATTACAAGAATCTCCTGTCTTGTCTAGAAATCCTTGGTTCACTCTGCCAATGAAAGGAAGGAAGTAGCATGGCTGTTGCTCAAAAAACTGCATGGGGTGGGCGGGGGGATGAGGTACGGCTTTCAGATGACAATAATAAAAAATGTCTATATTGCAGGTTCAGCTCTGTGAAGCTTCTAAACGAAAATGATTCTGGTGAACTTAAATATTCCATCCTGCTGCCTGCATATTAAAACAAAAATTTAATATATGCTGTGCATCCCTTATCAAAATCAGGAATGTTTTAGATTTTTAAATTTTTATTTTATTTGCAGATTGAAATACCTTCATTTGCATTTGTGTACATAAAGAGGTAACTTGGA